GTGTATGTGTGTGTGTGTGTGTGAGTGTGAGTATGTGTCTGTTTATGTGAGTATGCGTATGTATGTATGTTTGTTTGTGTGTGTGTGTGTGTGTGTGTGTGTGTGTGTTTGTGTGTGTTTGTGTGTGTGTGTGTGTGTGTGTATTTAAATGGAAATCACTTCCTCTAATACAAAATACCTACTATGGAAAAAATATTTCAGTGTTCTAGAGAAGATAGTGTAAGTACCGGTGTGTTGCTGCCAGAAATTGTATTCTTGATTTAAATTCTTATGGCATGACTGATGCTTTGTTTGGATTGTGCTTTTTGGTGATCAGATCTTTTCTGATTGTTTGACAAAAATTCCAGATCATAAGTGAGATCTCCACTTATCCGTCATTTTATTTTCTCATTGGAATTTGAGTTATATTTATATATATTTTTTTAAAAATAAAAAAAAATATACAGCATCTTTTAAGGAAGAAAAAAAGAAAATCATTTTCTGAGCATCAGTTGCGAAATTTCAGCTGTTGCCTATTTGTCCATTTGTTCTCTGTTTGTTTTAAAGTATGTCTCTGTTTACTTGTCTGTCAGCATACCTGTCTTGCCTGTCTTCATTTGCGCTTCTCTCTGTAAATGCCTGTTTCTGTGACTTTGGTATTGAATATTCCTCATTTTTAACCATGCAAGATTGCAAAAAGCCAGTGGCCTAGCTCTGAGTGGTGTGTGCTGATGACCCTGTACAATACTGTTGAATCTGTCTTAGAGATAAAAATTTAGCTGTACTTTAAGGTGTCATGCTACTAATGCATTGATGCATTGACTGCATTGACAGGGTTGGGTGTTGTGTTAAAAATATTACTGCACCGAAACTTATTTTTAAAATTTTGCTATCTCTCTTCTTGAATAAGTTGATTAAAGTGTATGTAATTGAATTCCTGCTATTTACTGATTTTTTTCACCAGATTTTCAAACGAAAACATACTGTTTGCAGTATTGTATTATCAGATAATGTGTTGTAGCTGTGTTGCTACTACCACTAATGCTGTTGTTGTTGTAGTTGATGTTTCTGCTTTCATGCTTATGAGCAATTTCGTCTCGAGGACACAGAGAGGAAGAACGATGCTGCAGAACTAATAACTATGACAGTGTTTGTACGATGTTGATTGTTTGAACGATGAGAAAGAGGAGAAGGTGGGAGGAGAAGAAGAAGAAGAAGAGGAAGAAGAGAGGGAGGAGGATTGAGAAGGTGGAGGAGGAGGAGGATTGAGAAGATGGAGGAGGAGAAGGATTGAGAAGGTGGAGGAGGAGAAGGATTGAGAATCCTGAAATATTAGCTTACGACCTTTCAATAATGACAAAACTCAACTTTTATTTAAGGCTTTGAAAGCAAAGGTAAGCATCTTCCACATCAGGCACCAGATTACACTTCCCTTTTTTCCATACCTCCCCTTGTGTTTCTCCCTCTTTCGGCTTTGCGAATCTCATGATGCTATATCCTGGCAAACTAATAATTCTGAGAAACAAATCCTTCCTGACTTCAAAACCCTTAACCTGAGTAATACGTGAATAGATTCTGAAAAATAGGAACTCCCTTACTTAAAATATTCAAAAGTGTTCACTTCACGACAGTCAAGCTACCTGCTCTCATACTGTTGTAATAATAAATTTGTGAAATTACAGTTTTATGGGAATTCGAAAAAAATCTTTTCAAAGCGTAACTGTAAAATTGTTATATTATCCCCGTATTGAGGGGAAAAAAGTTATTTAAAACTGTGATCTTGAATACTCTTGTCTTTTGTTCTTATTTTGAACTTGAACATCTATCTCTAAAGCAGTCTTCCCTGGCACAAATTATAAGCTCACCGCTTTCTAACAAGGTTTAATGAAACTTTTAAAAACTTAGATTTGTGTTTGGTTGGAAATGCTGCTTTTTTAAAAAGATTGCGCTTATTGCTTTTGTAAGAGAAATGAACAGAACAGTGTTGTAAATAAATGCTTTACTGAAAAAGAGCGGTCCTACCCCATACCTTCCTTCCTGCTACCCTCGTCCAACACATCTTCAACCTTTCCATATTCATTGTATTTAAAACCCCTGTAGATTTTTTTTTCATTTACTGCCCTCCCCCTTTTTAACCTTGTTTTTTAAATTATTATTATTGCTAATGTTTTGAAGGGACCCTTAACTTTTCATGTATATAACCCCCTCCTTTTGTAACATAAATTTTTTTGGGGGTCTTTTCCTTGGTGTTCAAAAAGTCTGTCTGTCTGTGTGTCTTTCTGTCTGTGTGTTTGTCTGTCTGTCTGCCTGTCTTTCTGTCTGTCTGTCTGTCTGTCTGTCCGTCTGTCCGTCCGTCCGTCCGTTCGTCCATATTATTTGTCCGTTTGTCTGTTATTTTCATACAGTTGGGATGTTTGTGTACATGTCATTTCTTTGTCTGTTTATCTATCTGATTAGCCTATCGGTTTGTCCACCCGATCTTTAAATAACTCTTTGTTTCTCTCCCTCTGTGAAATAATCATTAAATCAGCCTAACCCTATCTGGCCTTCTTTCCGTGTGTGTGTGTGTGTGTGTGTGTGTGTGTGTGTGTGTGTGTGTGTGTGTGTTCGAGAGCATATGTGCTGTGTGTGTGTGTATGTGTGTGTTTGTATGTGTGTTTGTGTGTGTGTGTGTGTGTGTTTCTTTGTGTGTGTTTGTGTGTGTGTTTGTGCACATGCCCTTGAGCCAGTAGGCATCCTTGTGTTTGTGTCTCACTGCTCAAAACGTTTGTGCAGTGTCCACATGTCCATACTTGCTCTATTTTTTATTAATATTGTAAGAAAAGTGCATATTTATATGACAAATTAAAATCATATTGGTAAATTACCCTCTCCGTCCCCTCCCCTCACCCGCAACCTGTTAACAAAAGCGGAACCCAATTCTACTATCGGAACAACGTTGGGGGAACTGCTACTTTTTCTTTCCTCATCCTTACTATCGTCATTTTTTTTCCTCTACATTTTTGTATGTTTGTCACTCTCTTGTGAACTGCTATTTCTGGGGTGCTTTGATAGTCGAAGCAGACTGTGTGCTGTTGAGGCTAGAGAGGTGAGCAGAGTAAGCCTGATTCCCAGTTTGGACTTCCCTGTTGACGTCCACCCCTTGGCGCTCATACGACCTTATGAAGTTGTGAGCGCCGTTAAAAGCTTACTAAAACTAAAACTTATAGGTAATTAATAGTGTTTAAAGGTATAAATAACAATTATAATGGCCTTCCATATCTGTCCTTGTATTATCTTTGCTTTTGAATTTACACAGTCTTTTCCTGATCATATTACACATATATTTACTCTTCTTTTTTATTTCAACCCTTTGAGCTGTTATACATAATATTATGTATTACTAATGTGGAGTATATCCTTCACGGACGAAAGTTACTTACTTTGATAATCTCTATAATTTCTCATTATATTTTTTGCTGCTTGCAACTGAAATTCCCAATCCCAACATGCTCCATATTTTCAGTTCTTGATTTGCTTTAATTTTTGTGTTGGTGTATAAATTAGTATAAAGTCTTTAAAAAATTTAGTCAGTCATTTTACTACAAATGAATTTTACACCCTTGTCAAATATAAGCTATGTAGTATCCTATAGTAACATTCTGATTGGGTGTACCCTAATAAATCTTTATAATTCATCATCTTATAGGTCCCAAATGTTTCACATGACCATTGTTTTAGCAACAGTGCTTATAAGAACAGAAGCCAATCATATATACAGGTCTGCAATACTATACTATTGTCTGCATGGGCTATTCTTCAATGTCTTTTCAAAATAAAAAACCCTCTTATTTATTTTTTTGTTGCTTGATATCAGACTTCGATTATTTGTTTTTGTTTTTTTATCAATGATGAATTTATTTATGAAATAGGGAAGTTTTGAGATACAGAGAAATAACTTAATTTTGCTAGATAGTACCACAGGACTATATTATGGTTTGGTTCAAAATATGTTTTATTTAATAAGTTTGTTTGGTAACAATAATATGGACATTTTTAACATATTAATTGCTGATCAAGAGCAGATTTAATTCATTGCAGTATATTTTTTTACTTTGTGGTGATTAAAATATCTTACGATATTCATTCATTGTGCACTCCATAGTTTTGTTAATTAAAAAAAAATTACAGTATTGTTGTCGCTGCCATTTTAAAAGATAAACTCATTTACAGGTGATGTTGATTGTATTAAAGCATTGTAGAGAGTTATTTATAGTAGGTTTATTTTATTTGAAAGTTCAGTTGAAGGGGCAGAAAATCTTTTTTTAAAAAAGAAATACGCTATTGCAAGATTAACATTGGGTTGTTTTTTTCGCGTCACCATAGTTGAACTTCACTTGTCAAGGGCCCGACGTTGTGTCCTTGGGAAAGGCACTTTACACGAATTTTCCTCACTTCACCCAGGTGGGAATGGGTACCCGGCTATAGACAGCGAAAGATCTTGTCAGTTTGTTAGTGTTTGAGCGCTTAATCGGCTGCTCGCACTGTATGCTTCCCGGGAAGCTGAGAATGTTTCGGAGTGTTCTATGGTCTGCTGGGGTAATAATATAGTGTAAAGCGCATAGAGCCTGCTGTTGAGCGGGGATATGCGCTATACAAATGCTATCTATTATTATTATTTGTTTCTGATGTAGGCCTATCAGAATGCAAAGTGCCTAATGAAGCTGTTTCTGTTACTTGCTGCTGCTGCTGCTGCTGTTGTTGTTGTTGTTGTTGTTGTTGCTGTTGTTATTGCTGGAGTTGTCATCAGTGTTGACATTTTTGTTGTCACATCTCCCTCTGCTGTCTAATTTCTATACATCTGCTGCTGGAACCAATGTTCTCTTCTCTAAGTTGGTGGTTGGAGGGTGGTCTGGTATGTTCTCTTCCTTATACTTCTTTTCAGTGTTATCTTTCTTATACTTAATTTGTTCTCGACAAACTGTGATTGGTATTATGCTGACTCATCATAGATTACTACTCAGCTCAACTTACATGTGTCCCCGATTAATTCTTTTTTTCATTCAGCGTCTGTTTTCTTATACAGTACCAAATGTCTTCAATAAGCTGAACAAACGTTTACCATAATGCGAGACAAAATATTATTAAGTATTTTCTTTTCTCTTTCTTATGAGTCAAAGTGATGAACATGAGAAAAAACCCCTCAATGTGAACCATCAAGTGTAATTGTTTCAGGCTGGGGCTGACAAAAAGAAAGGCAAAGACCAGAAAGATGGAGGAAAGGAGAGAGCTAAGTCCCCCAAGAAGGGAGGCAAGAAGACTCCGGAGCCTCAGCAAGCCAAGGACGGCAGCAAGCTCAAAAAGCGCGGGGAGGAGGACAGTGACAGCAAATGCATTGGTTGGTGACTTCTTTTTTTCTTTCTTTAAATAGATATTTTATGCCCCATCGACACAAGTTAGATGGTTTTTAGACGTGGGCTTCAATGTTGCCTGTCTGGTTGAACCCAGGCAGAGAAGGATACGTCCCAACAGAAAGACCGAGATACTTTATATATAAAGATTCTCCCCGTACAGGAATCAAACTCAGGTCTTTTGCGTGGTGCGATGGCTAAGATATTCTTGGTGTCTATTTGTTACATCTGGTGAAAACCGCTAACAGAGATGGATATTTCCTGTAAATTTACGGAAATCTGTCGTTTTCCGTTAGTGGGACCTCTACCTACTTTCTATGGTGAGTCATTCTACTATGTGTACTAATCTACAATTGAATAAATGTATTTTTCCAAATTTGTATCGTTTCCACCACTGAACTTATCAGATGGGTAATATTAGATATTGTTGGTGACTTTTTGACACGTCTAGTGAAGACAACTAATCATATGGCTAATATTAGAAATTCCTGGTGACTATTTGATACGTCTGGTGAAAAGTACTAATCAGATGGCTGATAGTAATATGCACTGTGGAGTCTGATCTTTTGTTTGGGCTTAGAATTTGATAAGCTTTAACAGAGTTCTGGGTCAGATTTGATGAAGTATAGCAAAGGCCAATTTAGTAAAGTGTGCACAGGAACAACCATTAATTCCTTATCTATGGCAAGCCTCTTTCTGCAGCCTGCAGTCGGAACCACTGTGCCAGTGAGCGTCTGCAATGGCTCTGGCATATTCCTTTACAATGACTTCATCATCAAATAACTTTGTTGAGATTGTAGAAAACAGGTCTTTTTTACGGGGAGTTCATTCATTAGATGAAGACCTATCAAAATAGGTTAACTTGTTTTGATTTAATGACTAATTTAGTGACAAATATGTCACTTTTAGATTTCGTACAAAAAGAGGGCCCTGGTTTCCCCCCCCCCCCCTCGGAGATAAAGGGTGAATCAACTTGTCCTCAAACATATCAAATGTGACAAATGAGCAGTGCGCACTGGGTTTAGCGAAGATAAGTTAAGCTTCCTAAATGAGTAGAAGTCTGAAACCCACACCCCCCCCAAAAAAAACAACAACAAAAAAACAAAAAAAACCCCAAAAACCCCAAACAGAACAACTAAAATGTTTTATGTTGCGCTGTCCTCAGATGACGAGCCTGATGACGGGGCCCAGCACTACATCATAGTCAGCGGCTTCCACGACCCGAGGCTGTTCCAGTACCTGGAGGAGATTGGTGTGGTCATCGGCAGCATCATTGCCGTGTCCTCCCAGGACTATGAGAGGCTAAAGAAACCCGTGGTGGAGGCTGACAATGCTGGTGAGGGAAACTGATGGTTTATAAATTGGCTTTTCTCCATTGTACAGGCTGTCAAAGTTCTTCATCTGTAGGGGAGGGGGTCCCAAATGATGAGACGAAAGAGGGGGTGGGTTTCCCAAATGATGAGACGAAAGAGGGGGTGGGTTTCCCAAATGATGAGATGAAAGAGGGGTGGGTTTCCCAAATAATGAGATGAAAGAATAAGGGGGGGGGGCAAATGATAAGACGAAAGAATGAGATAACTGATTGCATGGACCAAATTACGTTTGTGAAGGGATGTAGTTTACTGACAGTGTAATTGTTGTAATAGTTTTACATTATCTGTCTGTCTGTCTGTCTGTCTGTCTGTCTGTCTGTCTGTCTGTCTGTCTGTCTGTCTGTCTGTCTGTCTGTCTGTCTGACCCCGAGTGGGGAGAAATTTTTATAAAGTTTTTCTGTTTTTCTGCTGTGATATTGTATCCCTCTAAGCTCGGGTTGGCCCTGCCATGCAGGGTCGGAAGCCCACCTCCTAAATTATCTAAATTGTGTCGATGGGGGTGTAAAAAAATGTTTCACCTTCACAGGTATTAATTTTGGTGTCATCTTTCTGCTCCCTTTAGGTTAAACAAATGTTAATAGAGTCCTCTTGATCCCAAAATGTGTTTTAAACACAGCTCCTGCAGAGCCAACAGAAGAAGAACTGAAAGAGGAAGAACTGCGTAAAGAACTGGACGTGTTCTGGAAAGATCTACTCCCACTTTTGCAACGCTTACCCGACTCATCTTCACTCCATAACATAGCCCGGCTGGATTATGAGGTGAAATCTCTCATTGTTCCAGCGGATCCAAACGATGCAGAGCAAAAGGTAAAGCTGTCTTCTCAATTTTCAAACTCTGTTTTCTGGAGAGTTTCTGGTGCTTTTTATTTAGTCTAATTTTGATCCAATCCTGAATTCTAAGCTCCTAAGAGAGTTGCATTCTGAACCGAATATACAGTTTTGATTTCAGCCTGCAATTAAACTGTATGTCATCTGTCTCACTCAAGTTCTTAAAAAAAGAAAATGTCTTTTTTGCCTCTGAAGTTCTGTAATTTCTATATTGTCAAAATGTTACTTATCTCTTAATCCTAAAAACAGAAAGGATGTATTTAATATATGAAGAGGTCCTGATGTGATTCTTGCCTGAAAAAGGAGTTCTACTATTGTTATTGAATTTTGGTTGACAACTGAATGCCAGAGTTTGGAACATAAAAAAAAATGTTGTGTTTTAACACTGTTCGGCTTAGAACAAAAAAAAAAGAAGGTAGAAAACTCTTTGCTTTTAATTCAGGTTCTGATAATTCCAATTCTTTTACGTAACATTGATCCCAATTCTTGTATGCAACAACATGTTTTGTGAATCCTGTGTAGGTTCAGTACAGCACTGCCCTCTTTGAGGATGCGGCTGTCATGGTCTACGATCTGTTGGATGCCAGACGTCTGTACAAAACATACCTGGAAAACCTGAAGCTGGTCAAGATCCCGGTCTATGGCCAGGAGGAAGCAACAGGTGAGTGAGGACAAATTTTGGTAAAAGTAAAGTTGGACAAATCCACTCCCTCCCCCTTTTCACACACACACACACACACAAACACACACATGCACATACACACACACTCACACACACACACACACGCGCGTGCGCGCACACAGACACTCACTAATGTGCGAACAGACACGCACGCACACACAGACACACTCACACACACATGCAAGATGAAAATAAAGACAAGAGAGAGTGAGAGAGAAAAAGAGAGAGGGAGAAAGAAAAAGAGAGAGAGAGAGAGAGAGAAAGAGAGAGAGAGAGAGAGAGAAAGAGAGAGAGAGAGAGAGAGAGAGAGAGAGGGGGGGGGGGATAGATAGACAGCTGAGTGTCAATGCCACTTAAAGTGTTCACTGGTCGTGTTCATCATCATCAAATTGCTTTTTATCACTGTTAGATGAGTTAGGTTTGAGTTTGCTTTTTACACCACTGTCTATTTTCTCCCTCCCTATCCCCCCCCTCTCTTCCCACTTCCTCTCCCCCACACACACACCCAAACACCCACACACATACACACAAACACACATACACCGGCACCCAACACCCAACACCCACACACACTTAAACACACACACCCACGCACACCCACACACGCACCCACACCCCGCCACCCACACACCCACACACCCACACACACACACGCATGCACACAGAGTCCTCCCCGCTGCCCCCTCCCACCCCAGGAGCAGCCAAAGGGGAAGCACCAGCCGCCGCTGCCACTCAAGGTCAGGAGGCTGGAGGTCAGGCAGCGTCTGCGACGGAGAAAGCCCCGCCTCCTCCTGTAGACATGAGGTTCTACAACGACTTGATGAACACCGTGCCCCAGGAGAGTGTCAGCGTGTCCCTGGTCATGCACTGCATGCTGGAGCAGGTCAGTTTTGTTGCTGTCATCTGGGTAGGTCAAGGTCATGGACAAGCTTTTGTGGGTCATTCTTCTTTCCTCTCTCTCTGTTAATTCAGTGTTACCTTTTGCTTGTTGGTCATCCTTGTGTAGATAAAATAAGATGAGATAAAATAAGATGAGACAAAATAAGATGGGAAGATAAAATACGATAAGATAGATAAGCGAAGGTAAAGCAAGGTAAGATAAGGCTGTTGTTGTTTTCAACTACCTTTAGATGCGAGCATTTCGCTCTTGGCAGTGTAAAGTAAGATAAGGTAAAGTAAGGTAAGATAAGATAAGGTATGGTAAGATAGGATAAGGTAAGATAAGATAAGATAAGAAAACAATATTGATCTCCACTAAGAGAATTTTGAAGAGTGTATTGGCTATGCTTAAAACGACATCAAAACAAAAGGTCACATTAATACACACAAAGGAAAGGTGGTGACTTTTATGTGTAACTTTTATGGACTTGTTTACTCAATGTTATGTTCATTGCAGATCTGCATCTGTGGTGCAGCAGTTAGGATCTTTGGCATAGCACATGGATAATGTTAGTTCAATTCTCGAGTGGGGATGTTCTTATGGATTTTCTCTGTGTGCCTGCTGGGATAATGTCGTTATTATTATTATTGTATCCCCCTTAGCCCAGGTTGGCCCTGACAACTCAAGCCGAAGTAGCCCTCCTCCCAATAGAATGATCTAATTTGTGTTTGATGGGGATGTAGATAGTCTGCTTCCCAAATTATCTAAATTATGTTGATGACGGTGTGAGTAGCTTACCTTCCAAATGATCTAAATTGTGTTGATGGGAATGTAAGTAGATTGCATCCCAAATAATATAAATTGTGTTTGATGGGGGTGAAAGTAGTCTGCTTCCCAAATGATCTAAATTGTTTTTGATGGGGGATGTATGTTGCCTGCCTTTCAAATGATGTAATTATGTTGATGGGAATGGAAGTAGTTTGCCTCCCCAAAATTATAGATTATATTTGATGGGGGTTAAAGTAGTCTGCTTCGTTAATGATAAAAGTAATTTTGATTGGGGGGGGGGGGGGCTGTACATAACTCACCTTCCAAATGGTCTTAATTGGTTTGATGGGGGTGTGAGTAACCATACATTTACAATTATTTGTTGGGGATTTTTTTTTCCAGATCTCTGCCACAGAGGAAGGGACAGACCCACCCAGCGAGCAGGCTCCTCCTGTCCGCTCAGACGGGCTCAACTTTAACCTGGCGTCTTATCTCAGCGACGTCGCCCAGAGACTTGGACTGTCGGAGAAGGAACATAATGTAAGTAGCTTTTTTTTGTGGTTCTTTTGTTCTTTTTTTTCTTCCCTCTCATACCCCTGCTACAGCTGAGGGAGTAACTAGCTGTACGAGTAAGATCTTCACCTCACAACGCAGTTGATTTTTGTTGTTGTTGGTTATGTAGCTGTTTTATCTGTGAAGAGCGTAGAATCATCCTTTCATCCTTGATAGGCAGTCTCGTGTTATTTTTGAAGATACTGTAAAATATTCATTCCGATTAAAGTGGCTTCAGTACTGCCGTAAACTGACAAAACGCTTTTTCTCATTTTTGGAGCCAAATTTTTGTATTTGCTAAATCAAAAGCCTGGTCAGTTACCCTACTTGTGTAAAAAAATCAAAGTGAGACCATGACTAGTTTTTGAATAAATTAGACAATTCCAATTTCAGAAAAGCGCTATTTTTAAACGGTTACACTGACAAAAAAAAACCCTCTTTATCTTGAAACTGCTGTGAATAAAAAGAGTAACTCAGAGGCTGTGGATTGTGATGTGGTTTGTCTTCTCAAGTGATAGATCTGCAGTATAGGTTCACTATCTCAGAATTACAAAGTTTCATCTGACATTTTTGGCCTTTTTGAGTTACTATAATAAGACCATGAGGTCAGAATATTATTCTGAATCATTATCAAGATATTCAAAGAATTGCATTCGAAAAAGCTTGGCAAGATGTGAAACTTAAAATCTTTGACATCAAATTTATCAAAGCTAGGTAGCCTACTGAGCACATAGAGCTTTGTAATTCTGAGGTAGCGCGTTGGAGATCATAGTTTATTACTTATTTCTTTACTCAGATGTCCCCCAAAAACTGCAGTAAAACAAAACCACTGCCATCAGCAACAACAACAACAGCAGTGGCAACAACAGTAACAACAGCCACACCAACAAAAACAACAACACAAACAAATGTAAAAGCAACATCTGTTTTGGAACTCTCTACTCAGAAGCCCTAAAGAAAACAAGAGCAACAAAGCCACTGTCATCAGCAAAGCAACAGCAACAACAACAACAGCACCACCACCACCACCAACATCACCACCACCACCACCAACAACAACAATAACAATAAAAGTAAAAGCAACATCTGTTTTGGAACTTTAAATGTTCTTAAAATGAATGTGTTCAGTTTTGGTTTTCTATTTGATTTTATATGTGTTCTCTTTCCGTTGTCTCCTGGTTCCAGCTTCTGTCTGAGGTCCTGGATCTGCCCAGCCCTCCTCCAGAAGAGCCCAACCCCCCAGAGCTTGTCAATATCCAAGATGGCATCAGCATCCGCACGCTTCATCTCAAGCCTCATTATGGATTTGACCCAGCTGGCAAGTTTTCGCTTTTGCTATTTTTGAGAAAGTGCTTGGAAAAACAATACAGTTTTGTTGGTTTGGAAGAAGGGGGGGGGGGGGGTTGGTTTTAAAAAAGGTATATTAACTCTTTCACTACGGGGGGATTTTCCTTACTGTAAGCAGCCTTATCTGTGACCTACTTTCTCTTTCTGCCTACCGGCGGACAAATTAAAGATTTTTAACTCATTCGCTACGTATTATTTTCGGCTTGTGGACGAATTCTTTTCGGGAGGGCGAAATGAGATGATGACTAGTGCGCAGTTCACAGGTCTTTGGGGCCATAAATTCAAATAAATATCAACATATTATATACCAACATTATCAGTATGGTTTGTAGAATACACCTGCATTATTTATTTGCGTATTTTTCAACTTTGGTTCCTGTAAGAGGCGATTATGCAACACAATTGTGATTGGATGCGGATAAAATTGGAAAATAAAAATTTTATAATCTCAGGTGAAACTAAAAAAACATGTTTGCACCTAGTCAAATGATACCTCAAAATAACCATAATTGTATATAGAACAGGAAAATATTGAAAAATGTGCAGTTATTTACATACATTCCATAATAATTGTACATTTGGATCATAACATCCGATATTGAAAAAAAATAAGTTTTTAAATAATTTTGAAAAAAGGATCACAAACAGAAAAAAATACGCGTAACTTATATGGAATTATTCAGAATTGCACTTGGAATAAACCTATACATGTCTTGAGTGGTACTTTTTGATTAATTTCACCCAAAAGTAGTGATTTTGGGGAGAAAAAAATATTTTGACTATTTAGATCTAGGCCTAGATCTAGCACTCAAAAATATTGATTTCTCAATTACAGTGCACCGTCAATTTGCGTCCGATAGTATCAATATTATAAAGAAGAGTCCTACACTTCTTTAGTGAGCAAAATAATTATACATTTTGTTGTGTTAAAGTACTTAGACTGGTGTCTGGGCTATAATTTGGGCTTCGCGATAAAACAAAGTCGAATAAACTACGAAATCATGTTTCAAAACTAAATCAAAACTTCCGATTTTCGGTGGAAACGCTTGACTCGGAAGTCAACATTATATTATGACCTTTATTTTAACATGGATAAGTGGATTGGAATAGAAACCAAGCTAAAATTGAACGTCGGTTCTCGAGCCGCTGGGGGCGGCTTAACGTACTGACGGCACTTGAGCCGTGCCGTCCCCCACGGCTCGGCGTAGCGAATGAGTTAAGTTCATTTTTCAATATTAGCCGCACACTCACTCGCACAGACTGGTATTGATCATATGCTTCTGTGTTGTTTGATTTTCCTTCCAGCTGTGGAAAGAGCCATGCTGCAGTTCCTTCCCTTTGCTCAGATGTGTCAGCTGCACCGACCAACCTCGGCTGAGGCCAGGCTCAGAGCAGCCAGACTCCAGGAACTCATTCACTTTTGTGCCACTGACAGTCTGTCAAAGTCAGGTAAAATAGAGTCATCTGTCTGCCTGTTTTCTTATGTACATATATGTACGTATGTGAGGCAGCGTGGTGGAATCAGGCTCTCGTCAATTTTTGGGCTTGTACAGTTATTGGTATCATCTTAAAGCTTGTTCACTTGCCTTTATTTGGATGAAAAAAATATCCAATTATCTTGAATACAAGTCGAGATATTTACGAAAAAAGGAGGTGGGGTCACCTGTTTTCAGAGGTAAAATTAGTGAGAAAATGGGGCCAAAGATTAGTTATTTCCTTAGCTTAAGAGTCCGTGGTAACTGAAAATGTACATTTTTGTGCCTTCAATCAAAGTTTTTAAGAAAAATCCACACAGAAATGAATTCTTTAATGGTCATGAAAGGTGTTGAGACAAAAAAACAACAGATTTGATAACAATTCGCAAACCTGCAGAAATATGCAAGTTTCTTCACTTTGATTATTTTGACGAGAGTCTGATTCCACCTCGCTGCCTCACATATAGGCTTAGAGGAAATAGTCCAGAAAAGATCATAAATATGATGAAAATAAAGATCACCTCTATAGTGCCCACTCCCTGGTGGCTCCAAGCACTTCACAGTAAAATATGCTACTACTGCCATTTCCTCTGCTAAACTGTTGAGGAACTGTCACCGACATAGAGAGTTGCTCAGAGGGACACCTCCCAGTGATGCGCCACCACTTTCTGTACAAAATCAAGATTGTAAATATTTGTTAAGTGACTCTTTTACTTGAAATTATCTTCCAAGCCCCCAAATTGGTATGAAATAACCTTGCTTTGATAAATGATTGTTTTTGTTTCAGCATTTTAGGGTTAAACAGTATAGTCATAATGGGTGTCTCGCGAAAATGGTCTTCTGTCGCGATCATGCGGAGAGTTCCTCTTTTAAAAAATCTGAATTGAGACCCATGATACTGGCCCATTCAACATCCAACAGTTTTTTAAAAAGAACATACACCTGTTATTTGACAAAGAACACATACCCAAAAAAAGACAGTCACTGTGGCTACTGATCACACTTGTTGTTGGAATAAGAATATAATGAGAAAGGTAATTCTGTCCACTTTCAAATTGGAACCTCAGAGATTTTTGTAGGGCAGGTAATGCTGGTCACTGACAGTGGCTAACTTTGTGTGCTTTCCAGTCTCGTGCCTTGCCACTTTAGTTGACTCTCTGTGAGTGCTTGGCTGGTGCTGTGATCTGATCTGCTTCTTCTTTTCTATCAAACACCTATCATCCTTATCTCTTCACCTTCTTTTATGTGTTTGTTATTCTCTTGTAATTCATCTAATCTTTGGCACTTATACGACTTAATTGAATAGCAAATGCCATAAAACTCTAACCAAAATGAAAAGCTGACTCTCTATGCTTGAATCTTGACAGAAATTGACCGCGCTTTCAAACAGTTTGTGTTTGAAAGTATGGATTTGACTACCACGGACCCCAATGGCTTCTTGCTGGAGATACAGAAGGAAGGCTTGCAACATACGGCTATCCCATGGGACGACCCGTACCCATATTTCAAAGTGATGATACCGGTTGATAGAGCATCTTCCAAGAATCTGGAACTCTCAACTCCATCCGAGGAAAGATCAGGTATGGTGTTGTGTCGTGTTCTCTTTAAACTTTGAAATTGATCATGTGAAGATTGTCTTATCCTTTTACCTCAGCGATAAAAGTTTTAATTATCAAACTTGAACAGATGTTTGATTTTTTAAAAACCCAGAAAAAGCTTAAGCTGGGTTTTTTTAGAGCATACAAACAGAGAAAAGAGTGGCGAGCCGTGATCGCCTATGTCTGTTTTAGATATCTGTTTCAGATCTGCCTTTTAAAGAAGAAGAATTTTTTACACATGATTAGCTGATAATGGGCCCTGTCACTTCTTGAAAGAAGTCTATAATAATGTGCCGTGAAAGAAAGAAATACACGTAACACTAAAACACAAATCCTTTATCTGATTTGTTATTATGGAACTGAAAGGGGGG